TACACCAAGCGCAACAATGAAGTAGACTACAGTACTTATTTATTTTGTGATTATTCCCCTGTGTTTACGTATTCATTCATACACATTTACTTACAGATTACGTTGCAGATTGACCCCTTCCCAAACCATGTCAGGATTCTGTTTGTACAGTCAATGAGTTCATTTCAATAGTCTTGTTAAAAAATATGATCTGTATAAACCTCCCTCTCTACCAGACTGATACATGCTGGAGAAACCTTATACCTCTACCCTAATGTCTCCAGGAGAGGATCTTTGGCAGGGAAACAGAAGGACACCTGGATGCTATGAAATATTAACAGAGAAGAGGCGTGTGGCACACAGCACGGAGCGAGTGGAGGGGGGTGTAATGTTACAGGTCTTTCATAAGCTGCACAGGCCCTGCTGGGCTGTTTACCTGACCTTAACCCTTTCATGTCATCTTTCTGACCTCTCGTAGCAGAGTGGTAATTGGGACATCTATGTTCTAACTGCTACGCCTCAATTAAAAATGGGAAAGGGTTCTTAATGCTTTACATAAACCGTGTGCATAGATTATGCATATAAATATCACCGTCAATGGATAGATCCTTTTTATTCCAGAATCGTGTCTTTAATCGCACTTACGGCTGTGAAAAGCTCCAATCATGAGAAATGCTTTAGAAATGATGAATGGAGCAAGTTCATATCTAGCAGCATATTTGGCCTGTAAATCGTGCTTACCTGCATTGCCAAGTATGCCCCTGGGATGAGGAGAAAGTGTATTGGTGTATTGGTGGTGCAACTTGTACCAGTGGGGTACATAAACAAGCCTGTCCATAGAGTAGATGTTGAGACATGATACTAAACTGCATGACGTAGTCTTCTGAACCTCTAGATCTTATTTTTCCATAATATACAGTTTGCCATTATGGATCTTCTATACTGTATGATTTTAGTTTTTTAAGGTTAGGGTCAGAGTTCCTTTAATTTTAGGGCAGTATTAGGATATAAAGATAGAATTTGGTGGAGGTAGAATCCCAGTTCTTCAGCTTCACCCTGATAGTGATATAACAGCAGAAGACTTCCTCGTCTCCTGTCTCACAACATCATAGAAGTGGAATGAAATATATATAAATTCATGAAATAGGCTCACTTTAAGAACTTTGAGAGAAACGTGTTGGATTCTATTTATTTTTTGTATATATGTATATATACCGTAAATATGGAACTGTAACGGCCTGGTAGTAAGTACAAGTATCTGGGCACACCTGATGGTTTCTTCTAAAAGGCAGTCTTTATTAGACATGTGCAATTTGTTTCGGTCCGAATGTGAATTTGTACGAATTTCGGGCAATTCGGACATTCGGGTACTTCTGAATGTCCGAATAGATTAATTACCGAAGTTGCCGAAGTGCCGAAGTTCCGAAGCACAGTATTGCCTAAGAACTAATATACTTAGCCAGTGGAAGAATGAAGAATGTTACACTGTTTCCAATTTAACAGGATACTATAGTCACCTGAACAACTACAGCTTAATGTATTTGTTCAGGTGAGATCTATAGCTCCCTGCAGGCAATCTTATGTAAACACTGTATTTTCTGAGAAAATAGAGTGTTTACATTCATTGATAGGAATACCTCCAGTGGCCGTCACTCAGACGGCCACCAGAGGGACTTCCTATCATGTAGGGCCCTAAAAAGGCCTTGTACACGTCAGACGTATTAAGATCCGTCTGACGTGTGCAGGAGAGACAAGGCACTGTGTGCACGCCTTATCTCTCCTGCCTGTCAGCAGAGTAGAGGGGCGGGAAAAGACCGCGAGCGGAGCTGCCAGTCAGCTCAGCTCACGCCCTATGAAGTATGTGCGCATGTGCGGCGAAGCCGCGCATGCGCACAAGGGAACAATGACGCTTCCAAATGGAAGCATCTGATTGCTCGCGCCCGCCTATTTCGGCATTTTGACGAAATAGGGGGCGCTGCTTCACGAGGCTCCCGGCGCTGGAACCAGGTGAGTAAACTACTCTGCCTGGAGAGTCCCTTTAAATAAAAAGTATACAAACATATCCAGGATTCAGCTGTAAGCATTTGCAACACTTACAACAATCAAGTAACATACATTCATATAAAATATAAGTTACTTAGCCTGTCAATGTAATGACAGGAATGAATAAGTAAATAACTCCCTAATTCCCACGGTATTAGGGAGCTATCTACTAAAAGGCTGAAAGACCTAAATCGGTCTTTCAGTCAAATTTACTAATACTAAGTAATGAGTAAGAGTATGAGTATGAGTAAATTATGCCCCTACTCACTATACCGCGAGTAGGGGCATGTCTATTAAACAGTGAGCAGCATAAAAAAGGTCCCCCCCCTCCCGAGCCCCCACCTGTGCCGTGCGAGTGGAAGCTTCTAACCTGAAGGGGGGACCTATTGCTCCCCCCCCCCCGGCCCCCACCTCTGAATGGCGGGTTGGGGCCCTACAGTAAAATAAGGGGGGGACCTAATGTCCTCCCCTCTGGCCCCCACCTCTGAGCGGTGGGTAGGGGCCCTAAATACTAATAAGGGGGGGCTAATGTCCTCTCCCCTGGTCCCCACCCCTGAGCGGTGGGTGGGGGCCCTAAAAAAAATGTTAACCAACCCCCCAGGTGACTAGGGGACCTCAAACCCCTAGTCACCCCCGTCCCAGAAAAAAAAATAACCCCTACCTACCCCCTTCACCCTAAAAATAATGAGGGGGGGCCATTAACTAAGTACCTGTAAAAAAAAAAAACTTACCATTTGATGTTTTCTTTCTTCTAAAATTCTCTTTTTTCAGCCCCAAAAAAGGCCAAATAAAAAATCCATAATAACACTTTGAAAGAAAGAAAAAAAAAAAGAGTGCAAACAAAAATAATCAATTTTTACCCATGGAGGGCTCCGTGCAGACTGAGTTCTGCAGGGCTGGGGAAGGCTTAAAAGGCCTTGCCCCGCCCTGCAATTAGGCTCAGAGCACTCTGATTGGTGGGTTTAAGCCATCCAATCAGAGTGCTCTGACAGGTAAATGAAGAGACTGACAGGTAAGGCTTGGCTTGAAATCCACCAATCAGAGTGCTCTGTGTCATTTTACACAGCGTGGGAAAGCTCTTTGGACTTTTCCCACGCTGTGTAATTTGACTCATAACTCTCTGATTGGTGGATTAAGTAAATTAAGGGGTGGAGGCATTTGTAATTAAAACACTTGGGCATAGTAAAGGGACACTATAGGCACCTACACCACTTCAGCTTATTGAAGTGTCTCCCAGACAGCTATCGGAGGCGCTTCCTGGCTGCTAATAGACTTTTGGTCCTGTAACTGACACTGCATGTCCTCACGCTCTGCATTAGGACATCCAGCATCAGCTATTTCCCCATAGGAAAGCATTGATTCAATGCTTTCCAATGGGAAGGTCTAATTTGCAGCACATGCGCATTAGCAGCCATTTGTCTCGGGACAGGTACTGGGATCAGGTAAGTAAATAAAGGGTTTTTTAACCCTTTATTTACCACTGTAAAAGGGCATGAGGGAGAGGGGAGGAAGCCAGGGTGCCTTGAATACAGCTTTGTGTTCCTGGCACTATAGTATCCCTTAAGTATTTTATTCCTTAATTGTTTATTTGTAGCACTGCACAAAATTTTTCTTTTACATACCTCTAAACAAGAAACAAGGCAATGAAATAATATTATTAGCAGAATATACAGTGTTTGTCAGTCCGATCGTATTGCTTTGCTGTTTGTGATATGCCTGTTTTCAGCTTATTCCAGAGTTAAGTAGGTCAGTAGAGTGATGCTAATCAAACAGAATAGCGGGTACATTTCATTAATGCTTTGCTGACCTTAGTGTACTTGTGGCAAGGGCTTTTCCAGTTACCTTCTAACTTGCTCAGTAACACTGTTTGTTTTAATCGATATTGTGTAAACACTATACCAGGGGTTGCCAAAAAGTAAAGCCTCACTTGCTGTATGTAGCACTGCAACCCTTGCACTACATAGCCTGTATATTTTCCCACATGCTCATCAAAGAGAAGAGTATGGATAACTATGGTGTTTATGCATGGTCAGTTTGTTTCATTAACTGGAACAAAATAGCTTGACATCTGAACTTCAGTTGCCATGATGCTGCTTTCAAGAAAACTGCTGTTTGATTGGCTGCCTGCATGTAGCCGGTGTGGGTAGCGTTTCAGATAATAAAGTAAGGCGGATTCTGTTTATCCTGGGTGCTGTGACACCATGGTAGCAGTTTATAGGTCATGTTGTTACAAGGTTACAAAGTCTCATGCACTATTGGTGTTTCTATGCAAACTGTGAGTTGTGATGAGGATTCGGAGGAATATCTGCTGTGTGTTGTTGTGTATCTGAGCATATCAACTGATAATAAACCACGATTATTTTATTTTTGATGTATATAATATTAGACAAGGCTGTCCCATGTACATAATATACATATTTCATTTGTACTTTTTATTGAAACTTTTATCAGTTACAAAAAAAATACACAGTCTGTCACATAATCAAATCAACATAGATTGTATCAAATAGTTAACAGAGTATAAATAACTCAAAATACAATATATACAATGAACATTACTATTTTTGAATATTAATTAAAACAGACATACTAAGACATACACACAAAACAAGCCATCATAAATCATTTTTAAATTGTCTAGAAGGTACCTCAAATTAACCATACCGTGGATCAATTTACAAATTCCTCAACTCAATTTTAATCAAACAATTAAACACAATTTTTTTTAAAATATACTAAACAATAACATGTTTCTTTTTTCATGTCCCTACAATGTGTTTATTAGTTTGTAGTTATACATATATGGACAGTGGGAGTGTCGGCTCAATCAGGATGTATCCCATAATCCTCCCCTTTTTAAACCTCTGGTGGAAAATGATGTATTTTGATCTAATGCTTGCCAATGCAGTCCCTTCCAGTGCTATGGGTTCATATGTATTATGTAGGACCGAGTGGCACATACTTATTAGACCAACCCTGAGTTTCTCTCCTAGAAGGTGTATAAGACAGGTTTTGCATACCGAGATGTTATTGGCTACTATTTCATAATCTACTGGATAAAAACAGTACTTATCACCACTACAGTTTTAAATACTACACTATTATTTCTTCTCTGGTTCTCTTCACATATACCTTGTCAAGGATTACCAAAGCGCTGCACCTACCCCCCTGTTTTTATCCAGTTTTCTGATCGGAAAAGAGAGACTCCGTATTGGTGTTTAACCCCTTAAGGACACATGGCGTGTGACATGTCATGATTCCCTTTTATTCCAGAAGTTTGGTCCTTAAGGGGTTAAGCTGCCTTTGGACTATTATCACTTTGCTTCTGCGCCAAATTTATTTTTGTGTGATTGTGTTTCATATTCTACGCCTGCTTTAATATGTCCTTTATATATCTTTTTCAAGGTCCTTTTGTCCCTGGTGGAAGTTCAGAATCTCAATCGGATCACTAGACCTTGCTGCTGAGTAGAGGGATAAGGTAAGGGAAACGTGTTACACAAACAAAACACAGGTCTTGGGTAACTGCCCACTATATATGGTATTCCACAGTACCAATACATTTCCCAATGGGATATAGACCTATTAGACATGAAGCATACAATATACATTATATTACAATAAAAAATGGGTCATTGAGGTGTTATTGAAATTGAAGAATGAGTCACAATGCTAATGTATCTGATAAATGAGTTCCCGTCAAAAAGGTTAAGACAACCGCTTTAAATTAACACTATAGCTTCAGGAATGCAAACATATATTCATAACACTATCGTGCAACTGCCCCTAGCTCTGCATCAGTTCAACCTCCCCCAACAACTCCACCCCCTCGTTTGCCATAAAAAAAAGTTTTAAAAAGGTTTAACTTACTTTTTTTCAATCTGGCAGTCATACCAAATGCTTTTCACAGTGGAGCTCTAGGGACCTAATGTGCATGTGGGGAAAACACTACACGCATTCAAACTGCACCTGTAGGAGAGCATCAAGTCAATGCTTTCCTATGGGGAGTCCTGCATCTTGTGACCGATTCATACTGCCCGCCACTACGTAAATATTGCAGACTTAAAAGGACAAGGTTACTTCACCCAAACCAAACATTGACCACTTCCCCTTTAAAGGATACCTGTTGCTTCCAATGAATTATATTATTATATTTACTTATCAGCTATATTTAAAGGGACATGTAGGCACCCAGACCACTTCCGCTCATTGAAGTGGTCTGGGTGCACTGTCCCAGGTCCTTTGACTGTGCAATGGTAATTATTGCAGTTATTGAGAAATTGCAATAATTACTATCCAGGGTTAACTCCACCTCTCATGGCTGTCTGTGCATGAGAACATCCAGCGTCACCTGAAACCCCATAGGAAAGCATTGCATAATGCTTTACTATCGGGGAAGTCCTAATGCAAGTGTGGCCATTGTCGCAGATGCGCATAAGATCTCTCCCAGCGACGTCAGCAGAGGCAGAGTCTGAGCCAGCACGGAGGGACATTGAGGCTGCCCCCCTGTAAGTGACAGACAGGGTTTTTAATCTCTTCTGAACCACGTGGAAAGAGGGGGGCACAACAGAGAGCTATAGTGCCAGGAAAACAACTTTGTTTCCTGACAGTATAGTTTCATTTTACCATTTACTTTTAAGGTGTAAAAAGTAAAATATAGAAACCAGTCTCTTTATAATGGGCACCTTCATCTTGGCTCTTTGTCAGTCCGTCATAAGCTCTGTGCTTTGCACCTGGCAGTCAATAAAGAGAAAACACATAGAGAAGAGAAGAAATTTAACAATGTTTGTATTTGTCCCCCTCATTTGCAATATGTGCCTTAGTTGTTCCTGGACCCAAAGGGATTGTGATGTCAATTGTTAAATCTTCAATAAAAAATAAATTGAAAAGGATATGGAGCACAACATGAAAAAGGATAACACTAGTTATAGTTGATTTCTAGAATTTTAGTTAATAGTGTTTTATTTAATAGAATGCCTAGGCACAGTATAAAAGAATGTTGATATCTCTCCCTTCCCCAGAAGCAGCTAAACCTTCTACGTGTAGTTCGTTTGCACAATGCCTAGAGAATTTCATACTTTGCTTGTAACCACACACTTTAAATATCCTGGAATACATTTAGCTTTCAGCATTGTGTGCGGCCTAGTAAACACAATACAATAGTGATCACTGGCGATTTACCAGCCTGTGTTTATTTTTCTTTGCTAGCAACATTAGAGGAAATCTCAAGATAAGCATTTCAAACACAGTATGTTGACTTATTGGTAAAGCGTGGTTGTGTTGCAGATCTTGATGTTAGCATGCATTATTTATCACCACTAATAATAAAACTGGTTGTCATTTATAGTGACACTAGTTTTATTTATGGCATTAATAAGAGAAATAATGTATGTGTGCCCCCATAACCAGTCAAATATTGAGATACACCTTTTTGACTCCATTTTTTTTATGATTATGTCCATGTGTCCCTAATGAGCACTTAACACAAACATGATGATCTCAGCCAGTCTACTGTTTCCCAATAGGAAAGATTGCAGGACCGCATCAGTAAGCCCCTTTTGTGGCTGTCTGGATGACAGCCACTAAAAGTGGCATTAGGAAACAGCGTTTACATTGCTGAAACTGCAGGGACAGTCTGTTTGCAGCACAACTACTACATTAAAGGATCACTATAGGATCAGGAACACAAACATGTATTCTTGACCCTATAGTGTTAAAACCACGATCTAGCCCCCCTGGGCCGCTCATGCCTCCATAAATATAGTAAAAATCTGAAGCTGCTGGCTCTGCCCTGTCTGCCTCAGAAAAAAAACAGTCTGCTGACATCATCATAAGTGGTAGCCTGATCCAATCACAGTGCTTCTCCATAGGATTGGCTGAGACTGACAAGGAGGCAGATCAGGGGCAGAGCCAGCATGATTCAAACACAGCCCTGGCCAATCAGCATCTCCTCATAGAGATGAATTGAATCAATGAATCTCTATGAGGAAAGTTCAGTGTCTGCATGCAGAGGGAGGATACACTGAATGTTTAGATGCATTTTAGGCAGCCATGACCCAGGAAGGATCTCTAACAGCCATCTGAGGAGTGGCCAGTGAAGTTATCACTAGGCTGTAATGTAAACACTGCATTTTCTCTGAAAAGACAGTGTTTACAGCAAAAAGCCTGAAGGTAATGATTCTACTCACAAGAAAAAATTCAATAAACTGTAGTTGTTCTGGTGACTATAGTGTCCCTTTAAGCTGTAGTGGCTTTGGTGCAGAAGTTGTCTCTTTAAAGGAACCCTCTAACATTATAAGTACATGTTTGTATTTATTATTTTAAACTGTTCTTGGTACCTTTTAGATTGTAGGGCTTACGTGTAAAGGTTAAAAAATAAAGTTCTCTGGAGCTCACCTAGATGGATAATCTTGGCCAATCA